CTTCAGTGGTTACCTTGTTGACAGGGAGTGAGGCCTACGCTGGCCTGATTGAAGCATGGTCAGATAACCATGAAGCTATTAAAGTTGCAGTGCTAATAAAGTTTAATGTAACAGAAGAGACTTAGAGGCAATATTTTCAAAACAGTAATGCTGCAGTGGAAGAAAACACTAACCTGATAAAAGGACTTTACAAGCAATGGATGCAACCAGACAGCTGCAGTAAAGAACAGACTGGAGGAACAATCATTTAGAGCAATACCTTTGTGTGCTTATCCGAATACTCATACCTGGGTAAAGAAGCACAATTCACAGAGGAGGATGTGTGAAATGTTAGAAAGCACGAGCTCCCTAGCTGATGACATGCTCACCTTACATGTCGGTAAGTGGAGATGAGCGGCACACCATTTTTTTTTTCTGTTTACTTTATTTAGTCCAGGGGCTACAGAGATAATTGTAATTCTGAAAGTTGAGTTTACTTGTCTGACTGAAGGGAGCAGCCTGTTAAAAAGACATTAAGTTTACAGAAGTTCTCACCTGAGTTTCTTCCCTGTGGCAACCATCTTGTCCTGGAGAGTAGGGAGAGGCCACGCCTCCAAAGCAGCTCTTCCACAGGTTTGTGGGTGGGATCTCACATATGATTGGATTATAGATGTGTCCTGATTGGGCAGTTTAAACTGGAAGGCAATGTGTGTGAGAGTAATGGGAGAGAAGGGAAGGAATGCTTCTAACTGTTGAATGCAAGTTGTGAAGGTTTTTTTTTCCTCCCACCATTTTTGTTTTTCCCTCCTTTTGGAGATTTATCGTTCATTTAAAAATTGCAAATAAACAGCTTCCAATTTTCAAGCATGTTTTTTCCCAGTATGTTTGTCCTCCATATCTCCTGAAAGGCTTCATACACCTCTCCTTGCAACAGATCATTAAACTAATCCAAAGATGATCCAAAAAAAATCCAAAAGTACAAAAACTTAAACCGCTAAAAACCAAAGAGGTGTGAGGAATGTATGAAAACCAGGCAGCCAAACACAAGGTTAACGGACAAGGTACAAAACTAAAATCACAAAGCAGATGCAGACAAGAGGGAAT